ATCAACAGTAGCTACTGTAATGTCTCTTACTTAGTATCTTTCAAAATTGCTGCCCATACCATTAGACATAACAAAATCAAACAAAGCAGAACTCAATAAAAGCAAACAAAATATTGAATAAAACAAAACAATAAAATGGAACAAAACAAAACAAAACAACGAGAACAATATTGGATTTCAAAGTTGAGGCAGAAGGAAATCCCCTATATTTGCTATATTGTATATAATTATTCTCTCAATAGATGCTCAGATTACTGGCTCTAGGCCTGCAAAATCAATCAAACAATACAAGCAGTACGTTGTTTTTGTACCTTAGTTGCTGTCAATTCAGCCTGTCCTCCAAATCAGCCAGAACTGCTCCAAATTGCTTCTGGGGAGGGGAGTGGGGTATGGGGGAGTATGTGGGTGATGTTCTTGTCTCCTAGCCTATGTGCCAGTTGGCTCACGGGAAGGGCAAAATGGCTTCTTGTTTCTCCCCCAGGACTGCATGGCTTCTGCCAGCTCATGGGAAGAGTGAATTTGCTTCTTTCCTTCACTTTTCTTCTTTTCTTTTCTTTTTTTTTTTTCAGCACTAGGGATGGAACCCAGAGCCTTCATAATGAATTATATCTCCAGCCTATTTAAATATTTCTTAAATTTTGATACAGTTTCTTGCTAAATTACTGAATTGCCCAGGTCAGACTTGAAATTGCTGTTCTCCTGCCTCAGCCTCCCAGAGTGCTTAGATTACAGATGTGCACAACCACATCTGGTTTAACTTTTCAGTGTTTGTGTGAGAATGCAGGTATTATATTCTCATTTTATAGATAAATGAACTGAGACTCAGAGAGGGTAAGTAAATTGCTAGGATCTCTGGGCAGAAATTTTCCCGGGAGTTTGATCACAAGATTGATTCTCTGAATCACTGTGCTCACCTGCAGCTCTTGCAGAGATTGTACTTCCCCCACGCCCTCTCCTAGGCCTGGCAGCAGATTGCTTTTCCCTCCCTCTTCTTGAAACCTCTCAGTTTTGAAGCTCAGAGTGCCAAACTGTGTCATCCATGTCTGCTTGTGGTCCTGAGTCATTCCCCTCCCTGCTCAATGATCTTGGTTTCTAATTCCCTAACTTTCTAATACTCTTCCTGTCTTAACTTGGCAATTTCAGAGTCTGTGTAGAGGATTCCCATAAAGCTCTATCCCTGTAGGTCCCTGGAATCTCCTCCAACATTCTCCTCTTCATCCAGTTCCAGATGCATACTTGAGTGGTCATGGTCATGGTAGGTCATGCTTGCGTTATCAACAGCTAGGAACCCCAGTTTCACACAGCCTATTCTCCTGCAGTCACCTCCTATTTTTTGAGATTATTTTTTTTGAGTCTGGGTCTTGTTATGTACTTCAGGCCAGTCTTGAACTCACAGGCTGGCCTTGAATGCTCAGTAATCTTCCTGCCCTAGCCTCTCGAGTGCTGGGATCACAGGCATGCACCACCATGCCTGGTGAGGTTACTTTCCATAGAGCTACACTTCTTATGTTCCACAATACCAGGCACCCAAAACATTAGCTTCCTGTGATTTACTGTATATCAGCCGCTTAGTGCCAGATCTCCTGTTTCCTTAGTTTAGATTCAGTGTACTAACTCTCCTGTGCACACCTGGAGCTCCTACTACTGTGTGTGTGTGTGTGTGTGTGTGTGTGTGTGTGTGTGTGTGGTTGTAGGGATTCAACCCAGGGCTTTCACAAACATCCCCAGTCCTTTGTAATTTTTATTTTAAGATGAATTCTTACCAAATTGCCAAGCTGCCCAGGTTGGATTTGAATTTGTGATCCTCCTGCCTCAGTTTCCCAGTGTGCTGGGATTACAGGCATGGACTGTGTTGCCTGGTTGCCCCGATACAGTGTAAATACACAATGTCTTCAAGCTCTTGCCTTGCCTGTGCCTGTGCTGGTGCAGCTATTCCTGGCTAGGGAAAAACTCACAACTAAGCTCAAACAACTCTCAAAAAGATGAGATTATTTTCAAAAGAACAAACTTTTCACTTTTAATCATAATCAAAAACCTTAAAACAAACCCTTAGTCAGTTCCAAGCTATCAAATTCCCCAGTCCAACTCTAGGAGGAATCCGGGGGATTCACAATTGTGATCCTGGCCTGCACAATTAGTGGTTTGGCAAAACCCAGTCTCAAGATAAAAAGTGAAAAAGGCTGTAGCTGTAGCTTAGTGTGAAGAACCAGGTTCAATCCCCAGTAGTGCCAAAGGGGACAAAAAGCCCTGATCCACTCTGAATCCTGCTTTCTGCTGTGATGATTTCATTCCTTCTCTTTCTTCAAATCCCCAGGCCGTCTGTGTCTCACTCTCAGCCGATGACCTTTCTTTCTCCTTCACCAACACTAATGGAGAAAAGGACCACACTTCCGCCCCACTACCGCTGGCCTACACCATGCCTGTATTCTCTGCTCACTGCCCAGATCCGCCTGTCCCTGACATTTCCCCTCTCTATTGCATAATGTTCCTCAGTGTGTAAACATGTTAGGGTTCCTCTAATCCTAAAACCAGCTCTTCTTGACCAAGTCCTTCCAGTTGTGTACAGTTTCTTCCCTCCCCTCCCTGCCCCTTCTCTCCCCCTCCTTCTCCTCCTCTTCTGTCCCCTCCTCTCCTCTGCTCTCCCCTCTCTCCTCTCTGTCCTGTGCAGTGCTGGGCGTGGAACCCACTGTATCCTAGACAAGTGTTCTACCACTGAGCTACACTCCTGGACTGGCTCATCCTGTTTCTTGTTCTCTTTGGCAGCAAGCTCCTTAAAACAAGTGAGGATACAGGATTCTGTATCCATTTCCTCTTCTCTCTATCTCACATGAACCCCAGTCTGGCTAATCCCCATGTCATTCCACCAAACTGTGGGTCACCAAGGACCAGATCCTCTATTTTCCCCTCCTTGCGGGTGAACTTTCTTTTCTTGGTATTTGAGACACTAGACCTTCTGGGGCTTTCCCTTCGTCCCTTCCTAGCATTTGTCTCAGCTTAAACATCAGGGGCATTTGTGGCAGGACCTTCTGTCTTCTCTTCCCAGTGCCCTGTGGACATGCTGGTGGGATCCCACACTGCTTCCAGATCTAGCAATGGCCAAGTACTGTTCCTTGTAAGAATTTCACGTGTTTTTGTTTTTTTATGCCTCCATCCTGGGTAATTTTTTCCTCAAGCTTTGTCCATGGTTTGTATCAATGTATGTTCCATAAAAAGATGCGTGACAGTGACTTTCCATTTTCACCAATGTGGTATATTATTTATGCTAATTTTATAAGGAAAAAGATAGTGCTCGTTTAAATATTTTCCTTCTTGTGAGTGAAGTTACGCTCCAAAACCCCAAGCCAAATTGTATTTTCTTCTCTGTGAACTATTTAATTGTAGAATATTGGTTTTGTGTCTGGGCACTTGAAGAATAAGACATGTGTATCTTTAAAGGAAGGAAGCAGGAACTCAAAGGTCAGAGGTTGTCATTTGACTTGCTTGGAGATAGCTCTCATTATTAAAATAAGAGGAGCAGGATAGGATGGCTGATTCCTGTAATCCCAGTACTCCAGAGGTCAAAGCAGGAGAATTGTAAATTTGAATTCTGACTGGGCAACCTAGTGATTTAGAGAGAACTTGTCTCAAAATATAAAGGGCTGTAGGAGAGGAAACCTGTGTAACTCAGTGGTAAAGTGCCTGCCTAGCTAGCATGTTTAATGTCCCCAGTTAATCTCTAGTACAACAGAAACAAAAACAAAAACCAGCAATAAACATCTACTCCTTAAGTGTACCACATAGTATTTGTATATGCTGTTGTGTAGACTATGACAAAAGGTTTCCTTCTGTCGTTTCCTGAAATCCACAGTCTTGATATCCAAAATATTCTAAAGGTTGAAAGTGTTCTGATTAGATTTGGCACCAAGATTTATTTAGTGACAAAATCTGCCCCGAACCAATGGGTAGCCATTTAGAGATGTTATCTCAACTTACTATGAATGTTTACTTTTTTAAAAATCACTCATCTGTTTTTAATGACAAGGTGCTTTCCTGGGTCCTGTAGGGATGCTACAGGACTGGCGATACACAAGTTACATTTTGGAGACCTATTCAGTCTTAATGCCAAAAAGCACTCATGCTGGGAGGTCTTACAGAACGGTACGTTTGAGTTTGGAAACACTCATTGCTTGGGAATGTCTTAACCCTGAATGGTCTTTACTTATTGGATCTGGTAAAGCTGTGCAAGCATGATTTCTGCAGTAATACAAAGTTCAATTGTGATGCTTATTCCAAGTTTTAGACCCATTTTTGAATATATCTTAAAGAGTCCAAAAGATTTAAAAATATTGTTAATGATTCAACTTAACAAAAATTTCATACTATTCTTACCTTAAGGAACAGTGAGAGATTGGAAAGTGAACTGTTTTTTTTTTTTTTTTTTTTTTGTCTTTTTCCTTTTTGTCGGTACCGGGGATTGAACTCACGACTGCCTGCTTGCAAGGCAGGCACTTATACCGCTGAGCTAAATCCCCAGCCCCCGGAAAGTGAACTGTTAAAAAAACTTTTACATACAACTATGTTTGTGTGAGAACCAGGATTTTCTTCCTTTCAACCAAATGTAGGACCAGGGATATAGCTCAGTGGTACAATGCCTGTCTGGCAAATTCGAGGTCCTGAGTTTGATTCCCAGTATCAACAAAACAAAAAGAACAAAAAATCCACTCCTCAAATATAAAAATATACTGTTATCTTTACCTTAATTGTAAATGTGTACATAAATTTAATAGTTCTCACTGCCTCAGTAGATATTTTAACATGACCATATTAAACATTTTTATCTTAGATACTATTTTGGATTCATTTTAGACACTGTGATCTTTTTTAAATATATGTGCTGCCGAAGTGAGCTTTTTTTTGTACTGGGAATCAAATTCAGGACCTTGCACTCGCCAGGCAGGCACTGTGCTGCTTAGCTATATCCTTGCCCCTGAAGCAAGCATTACAATGTAATCTCTTTAAAATTTATTTGGAATGGGGTTTATTTATTTTCCCAAAGGTATAAAAACAGAAGAGGAAAATGACAGCTTGATTGGTAATCTTCTGCAATTCTTAGAGGAATGGAAGGCAGCCTTTTGGTAAAGAATGTGGATGGAATGATAGAAGAGAGAGTTTATTTCACACAGTATCTTTCTGCATCTGTGATTTTAATGAGTTCTTATTGGTGATCAACTGGTCAGGTGACTGCTTTTATACACTGTACCCTGGCTTTTGACCTATTGAATCCTGGGCTCAGTATTCCTCCTCACCCATTTCTTTCTTGATCCAATCCACATAGCTGAGTATCTTGGTGTAGAAACCATATCCATGGCCACACCCAATGCCCCAGGACACAATGCCCGTGGCCACCCAGCGATCTTTCTTGTGGTCTTTCACTACAAAAACACCTCCACTGTCCCCTTGGCAAGCATCTTGCTTTAAAGTTGGGCCCCCTGCACAGAACATGTTTTGAGAAAACACATCATCCCGTTTATGGCTCTGGAGCCAGCTCTCACATAATTGTCGCTCAGCTACAGGAATGCGAACAAACCTGAGGCTATCAGGAAGCCGATCCTCTGTTAACCCAAAGCCACTGACATAGCCCATGAGGCTGTGGTCATAGAAGGTCTCATTGTCCGGGAGGCAGATGGGGAGGATGTTGGGGCCCAGGGTGACGCTATTTTTCAACTCCAACAGGGCAATGTCCCCATCAAAATTGTTGGGCTGGTCCTGACGGTAGTCTGGGTGGATTCTGATTGAGTGGATAGGGTGGTTTGACAATTTCCTGAGCTCTTTCATATGTGTGTGGCCCAGTAATATCTCTGTGGACTGGTTATTGTCCTGCTTGATTTGTCCCTTAGGGTGCACGGTGTGGGCAGCGGTGAGGATCCAGCGGTCCCCCAGCAGGGCCCCACCCCCAGGGCTGGAGAGCATGGTGTACACCTGCCAGGGGAAGTTGCCCTCCTTGGCTCGCTGCCCACTGATGATGCGTTGCCTCTGCTCCACGGGGTGCACAGGTTTCCCGCACACTAGGGCAGGGGGAGAGGGTACAGGAGGTCAGAGGGAACAGGGCCATCTGCAGAGCCCCCGTGTTCTGCTTCCCTCTCCAGGTCACTCCATTCCCTTTCCCTCCCTCCCTTCCTTTTTTTTGTCTTTTTTGAGACGGGATCTCGCTATGCTGTTCAGACTGGCCTTGAGCTCACTTTGTAGCCCAGGCTGGTCTCAAATTTGCAACGCTCTTTCCTGAATGCTGGGATTACAGGCTTGAGCCGCTACGCCCGGCTTCTCCCTTCCGTTTGGTTTTTACTCTTTTCTTTCTTCTTCATTCCCACACCTGTCCTTTGGGCTGCCACTGGCTTCTTCCTTCGTTGTGGTTTATTTTTTCCTGGCATTTCTCTTGTGTTTTTAGTCCCTGACTTTCTTGCTGCTGCGAAGTTGCTGGAATGTCAGGATGAGTTGCTTTCTCTAGGGAGCCTCCCCATCCTTTTGCCTTATTCCTCCTCTCTGTCACCTCGCTTTATGCCACCTTTTCTGAGGCCCAGAGGGTTCCAGCCTGGCCTGGGAGGGTCGCACTCACCTGGCAGACACCGAGGGATCTTCTCCCCTTCCTGCTCGTTCTTCCAGGTGCCCTGGGCAGTGCAGGTGAACAGCCCTGGGGGAGAGGGCCACAGTCAGGGAGAGGTGACAGGCAAGAAACTGAATCCCAGAGCCTGGTGTGCACTAAGGGTTGGATGGATTAGAGCGGGAAGATATGGAGCCAGGGTGGGGAAAGGTCCAAGTTAACTGGTTCAAAGCTATGTGAATTAATACCAAAAACACTGAGAGTATTCATATATATATTTTTTGTCTTAATGTTAAGTTAAAAAAATCATAACACTTAAAATATGTTTGATATGAGGCTTATTTGTGAAAACAAAAATAAACATCGGAAGAAATGTATTCCAATCTTGAATCTTATCAGTGATTACACCTTGGCAGTGAGATTCTAGCTACATTTTCTGATGGTTGACAATATGCAATGCTTGTTCCTAGATACTTTAGCTGCATTTTTTTCATTTAAGTGCCACAGTGACACTTGAGGGTGTGTATTATTTTCATTTTATAGACGAGGAAATAGAGTTTAAATAATTCTTGTGAAGAGCCAGACGTGGAGTGTATACTTGTAATTCTAGCATTCTGGGAGATTGAGGCAGGAGGATCATAAATTTGACCTCTACCTGAGAAATTTATTTATTTATTTATTTATTTATTTATTGTTTCTGGGACTTGAACTCAGAACCTCGTAACTGGCCAGGCAGGAATTGCCCAACTGAGCTAAATCCCTTCTCACTTGGGGAATTTAGTGAGATCCTATCTCAAGAAGTAAGTAGTTCATCCCCAATAATAGGGGAAAAAATTTGCATGTGGCCACACAATCTAGTAAGGGTTGTCTGACTCTAAAGCCCAGCCTTACATGAATATCATATATAACCCAGGATTCATACTTGTCCCAAATCTGTTTCTTTTTGTTTGATTCTTTACTGGGGATCAAACTTACAACCTTGCACTTGCCAGGCAGGTGCTTATGCCACTGTGCTAAATCCCTGGCCTCTTTCTTTCTTTCACCTTTTTGAGACAGGGTTTCACTATGCAGTTCAGGCTGACCTTGAACTAACTTTTTTTTCATTTTTGAAGCAGGGTTTTGCTATGTAGTTCGGGTTGAACTCACTTTGTAGCCCAAACTGGCCTTGAACTTGTAGTGATCCTCCTGCCTCAGCTTCCCAAGTGCTGGGATTACAGGTGTGTGCCACCAATCCCAGCTTGTTATTGTTTCTTGAGACAAGTTCCTGCTGTGTATTCTAGGCTGGCTGAACTCTCTATGTAGCACAGGTTAGCCTCAAATTCTCAGCAATCTTCCTGCCTCAGCCTCCTAAGTGCTAGGATTACAGATGTGCACCAGCACAACCATGCCCAGCACAAACATGTTTCAATGAATGTGTTGTTTTTTCCAGTGCTGAGAGTTGAACTCAGGAATTCATGCTAGAGAAGAACTTTATTACCCAGCTATCCCCCCATTCTTTTTTGAAAAAGTTAAGCATATCTGTGGGGGTTTGAGAGCATCTAAATAAACCTAAATACAAAAACATCATGATATACCTGTCTGAGAGGGGAGAATGGTAGGGAACATTGTAACTGTGGTGTTACAATGGCAGTCACAGTGTTACCGCAGGCAGTTACATTGGCGGAGGTGTTAGTGGGGATGGTAGTGCTGGCGGTGATTGTAGTTTTGTTGACAATGATGGTGGAGATGGTGTTGGTATTCTTGTTGTTGGTGTTGGTATTGCAATGGTGGTGACTGTATTAGGATTGGTGCTGGCTGGAGGTGATGCTGGTGTTGTTACAGGTGGTAGTCGTGGTAGGTGGAAGGAAGTGACTCTAAGAGGTTCAAGTCTCCTTTTGCATCAATCAGGTGTCTTCTCCTTCAAATCTACTGTCTGCAGTAGGCCCCGAAGGCCTCTGAAGCCAAGGCTCTGGGCACCCACTTATTCTACATTCCCTTGGGGTCTTATTGGAAGCGCTCTCAGAGGATGTCTCTGAGGGTGTATAGGAGAAGACTGCCGTGGGTGTGTGTCCTTACCTCGCTCTGACTCATTGCTGCCAGCTCGGGTCTTCATTTTGTAATATGGCCCTCGGCAGTGGTACTGGATGCGGGACTCATAGACGTTCACCCCTTTGGTGGTGATGTACCGGAAGTCCCCATTAGGCAGGCTTCGGGGTTGTCCGCAGTCCCTGACTTGGAAAGAGTACAGGTAGGATGAGAACAGAGAACGTGTGTGTGAGTGTGTATGTGTGCACATGCACGTGTGTGCACTGTCTGCAAAATGGACAGAAATATGACCCAGTGAGAAATATGACTTTAGAGAACTGTGACCAGTGAGGATGGTGCTTGTGATCAGCGAAGTTGGGTAGTCTGTTCAGGTGTTGTGGAGTCTGTCAGTTCCTGAGAAGGGACAAGTATGGGGAGGTTTCTTCGGGGAAAGTCTTAGTTTGGACACCCTTTTTTCTTCTTAGCTCATATCTGAATAAAAGGGGGCTGGAGGGCCCTGGGGGCAGACATATCCCGGAATTGTGACTTACTCTTGCACCTGGGCATGGCACGATGCCATGTGCCATCGTCCTGGCAGACAGCTGAGAAGGACATCAGTGCCTGGTCCCCCTGTGTGAGCAGAGGTCAGAGAAGCCATGAGCACCAGAGACGCATAGCAACCTTTCCTGCCCGGACCATGCAGGAGCTGGAGCAGATGTAAAGACAGCTTCCAAACTTTCAGAACTCAACTCAGTGTCTGTCTCCTGACTGTGGCCAGCCCGCTTAGTCCAGAGCCACAGGGGACACTGAGTTACACAGCAGAAAGTCAGACCAAAGGCTAATTGGTGGACACAAAAATCTCCCCTCTAGTTTTTTGCCTACTTCCATTAAACTCCACAATTTGTAATTTTAAAACCACAGGCAGAATGAGTGTTTTGTTTTGAGACAAAAGACTTAGGCTTTTCCCTCTCTGGAGGGCCCTGCCAGCTGAGGCCTTCAACAGTCCTCTAGCCTACATTACAGTTTTCTTAAGGGCATGGCCTGTCCCAAAACATCACTGTCCTCCAGTCTTTTTCAGAGAGATGGAGTGTGTTCAGGCAGTGTGATCATAGACACACCTCGACTATCCAGGGTAAGATACTGATCTCGGCTAAGTGCTGCAGCAGTCCAGCAGACAGCAGGGACAAGACCCTGGAAAATTGGAGATTCCAATTGTACAGTTTTGGGAAAGTGTTTCAGTTTATGAGATTTTGTGACCATGGCACATAGATAAAACCATGTTCCATCCAGAGTCTGCAAAGCTGAGAGGGCGGCGAGTCTAATGTGAGACCCCTGGAGCGTATAAAGAGGCCGGGAGCAGGAGGTTGGGGTCCTAACCCTACCATACAAAATTATTTCCTGTTCTCAACTGTACTGTGAGTTATGGACAAGGTCAGTAGCTCTCAAACCTGGCTCTGTATCAGAATCACCTGAGTAATTTTAAATTCTAATGCCAAGGTATAGTCAGATGGATGAGAGAGTCATTCAGTAAGAGACTCAGACACTAATATTTTTAAAAACTCTCTGAGTGTTTGTGGTGTGCACTCAAGTTGGAGAGCTGGTCGACCAGCTCAACCTCTGTGGTTCTGCTGGATGTGAACCTGGAGCTGCTGTGGAGGGACCCACCTGGATTCCTCCCAGAAGATGGAGCCCGGGTGCCAGGTCCCCGCAGCCCTGGGATCTTACCTCAATGAGCTGGTAGCCTTTTTTGCAGGTGACAATAAAATAGTCCCGGAACTGGTACTGTGTCTGTGGGTTCTGGATGACGGTGAACTCATCTAGGGGCTTGGGCTGTGGGCACTTGATGACTGTTGGAAGAAACATGAATGTTTCAGAGCCACCAGTCATCCTTCACCCCAGTGAGGGAGGCCCTTGGGAGCCTTATTGTCAGATTTCATCTTTCTTTATTGATCTTGGTGCTAGGGGTGGAACCCAGGCTCTCATGCATGCTACAACGCTGCCTTGAGTGACACCTGCAGCCCACTGGCCTTACTTTCTGTGGTATAGTGCAACTTCCAGCCCCGGCTGTCCCCTGACTCGTCGGTGAAGAACAGCAGGTCAACAGCATTGCTGCGGGCGTCTAGTTCAGGAGGCCTTTGTGTCCCACAGAACTCGCCTATGTTCTTCCCGTTGGCGTAGATCTGATGGGAAAGGAGGGAGAGTTTGCCTTCCAGCTGGGGGATTTTTACACAGGGCTGAAATTTGCCTTGTGTATGTTTTCAGCTGGAGGTGGAAAGGACCCACTGGACTCCTGTGCAGGAACTTGCCCAGCCCTGAACCCAGGTGTGAAGCTGGTCACCTCTGTCTGGGTTGACCAGAGGATCCAGGAGGAAATAGGGATGAGAGGAGCCACTTGGATGTGAAAAGGAGAGGTTAGGAGGCCATTGGGTAGGATGGCTGTACCTGGAGTTGGTCATAGGGGCAGTGCACTTGCTGGTGGTCATCAATTTCAAAAGGCTCCAGGAACTTGAGGTGCAGGGTGAAGCCCCGTTCTACCCTGATGCTGTAGTTGCAGCGCAGATCTGGGGGGTATGGCTGGGGGTACTCCAGGCTGGTAATGTAGCCTGATGGCTCTGTGTACAGCTCGCTGCTGCACTCAGCTGTGAAAGCAAAGTCTCAGGGGTCACCAAGAGCCCAGCAATTTCAGCTCAGTGCCCCCTCCCCCAAATCTCACTTGACCCACCCTGGCAGGAGTGCCTGTCCTCCCTAAGCTCGTAGCCTGCCCGGCAGGAACAGAAGTAGCCACCGATGTAGTTGTGACAGAGGTGCTGGCAGCGGGGCTGGGAGTCATCCTCTATCGAGTTGCTCTGGGAAGCACATTCGTTGAGGTCTGCAGGAGATTCAGAAGGAAGGGTTGAATCCAAGCCAGAAAATTCCTGAAGGGCTCTGGTCTCAGAGAGGTCAGTCACTCACCAGAGGCCTAGAGACAACTCCATTCCCGGCTGCCAGGCCATCCGGGCCTCTCTAATGCTTCCTGGGAATTGCCCAGTCAGGGCACAGTCCAAGTTTGACAAGCCCCTTCTTTTGAGGGGAGAAACAAGGAAAGCCAGGCATTGGGCTCCTTTTGATTCAAAGTTTCCCTTTCTGCTAAGGCCAAGGAGAAGAGCTCCCCTCAGGCACAACTTACCCACAGCCTGATAATAGGCCCGGAAGCCCTTGTAGAACATGATGGCTCCACTCTCCTCGTTGGAGAAGTCTGTGTGGAAGGTCAGCAGCATCTTGTTTCCTTTGGACACAAATTCTTTCTTCCCTGGAGGGTTGCCCAGGGGGGACCCTAGCTGCCCACAGAACCTCCCAAGATTTTTCTTATCAGCAGAGATCTGGTGGGAGATGGACAAGGTGGAGGAAGAAGTCGGGCTGAGAGTTGGATCCCTCTCTGTACCCTAGAGTGAACTGTGCCCCACAGTGGCTCCAACTGGTCACTGCCTGCTGGACTCGAGGTGCTGCAGACATTCTGTGGCATCTGCGTCTTCCACTGACTGACTCTGCATGTCATCTGTGGCTGGGATGTCACCCCATCTCTGTTTTATGCCTGACCGCCTTACACCCCACCCCCCAGGTCACAGATCTCTCTCATCCCCAGCCCCCTGGGGCCTTCTTCCGCTGGCATCCTGGTGGTCTCTGCCTGGCTTTTATGGTTCCTTCACCAGGCTTGGACTGGGTTTCAGTTTCTGTCTTCTTTCTGTGCCCCACATGCTTATTCAGCCTCTCAATTCAGCCAGGCCTCTGGATGGATACGGCTGAATGCAAGCCCTGGAACCCAGCAGCCTCGCTTCCCTGTCTCTTCTCCTCAGAGATGCCCCCACTCCTCACCCTCCAGGCCACCAGGTCTCTGTTCTCTGTGCATGATGTGTCCTCGGTGCTAGGGAGCTGTGATGCTTCCCTATTATTTCATCCACCTCCAGGCTGTTGCCCGGGATGCTCAGGCATAGGCCCTGCTCGAACTCCTAGTCTTATCTTTACTGGATGTGAAAGACAGGGTGGGGAGGGAGTCTCCTTGGTGGATGCTGGGGGTGGGGATGGTGGGGACCTTGGTGCACGTTTCTCTTTCTGGTGTTCCTATTGAGGTGGGCAGTCATGGTCATGTTCTCATAGAAACAGGGAAACTGAGACACAGATGTTTCTCAAAGACTCCCAGAGAGTCAGCAGTGTGACTACTGTGTCTCCCCTTCTCTGTGTTTCTCCCTATGATGCTCACTGAGCACCCTAAAACTCGGAGGCACCTGATCTGTGGTGTTGAGTGGCTCATAGAACTCTATTCAGCCATCAGCTCCGTTTGGGGCAGTTGGAGCACAGGCCTTCTGCGCAGCATGCCCTCTGCCCTCCAACCTGGCCCCTACCTTGACATAGTCATAGAGACAGCCTTCTGAAGGCTCCAAGTCAAACTGCTGGAAGACGAGCTTCACCCTGTATCCTGGGGGCACTGTGATGATCGTGGTTGTCTCATAGTTGTTGGGGTAAGGTTTCGGGTACAGAGGGGAAGTCACCTCCCCAAAGAACTTCTGAGGGATGGGGACGGAGCCTCCCACCCTGCAAAGCAGGGCTGGCGCCAGGAGGAGCAAGAGCCACCTGTGGAAAGGAAGGAGGTGTCTGCAGGGCTGGTGGGGAGCACCCAGAGCTTCTCTCTGGCTGTGGGAGACCCATGGAGATGCCCAGGGAAGGCGGGGCACCTCTGCAGCTTCTGCCTTGAGTTCCCTCCGGGGCAGTGTCCAGTCCAGAGGTTGCATGTTCCCATCATGCTCCCGCCCCAGCCCCCCTCACCACCTCTTTTTCCCGGAATGGGACTGGCAGGGGACCAGAGCATGGGACGGGGCATGGAGGGCATGGCTCTGGGAAAGGGATCCCGCATGTGCAGCAGAGCCCTCTGAGAGAAGCCCTCCATGGGGCCTGGGAAATTGGGGTTCCTCCTGCTGAGCAGGGTGAGGGTCCCTTCCCCTTGTACCTCCCTGTTACGAGCCCAGAGGAAGAAAGGAAAGGCAGCGTCAGCTCTGTGTCCCCTCAGGACAGGTGCCTGTGTTGGTGAATGAGTGTGCCTGAGTGTGTGCTGGCACAGACAGGGTATGCGGGGAGGGGAGGGCATCCCTGGCTCCTGCCTGAGTCTGCGGCCGCTGGCCTCTTGTGCCCGGCCCTTCTTCCCACCTCGGTGTCCCCAGCCTTACTCACATTTCCCAGGCCTGCTTGTTTTTGGGTCCTTGGCTGTCTTGACAGCGTATTCATTCACCAAGCCTTTGAGGAAGATAGCAGCCCTGCAGAGCAGTAAAGGGGAGGGGTGACTGTGGAGGTGGAGGGGGACCATTCCCGGAGGAATGAGGGAATGAACTATTTGCATAAACAAACCAAACCAAAAAAAAAAAAATCTGAGTTTCTTTAGTTTTGGTTTTGATAGTCCTGTTGGTGCTGCCACCTGCTGGTCTGTGTGGGGAAGGGAGGAGCCTAGGTCTGAAGCTCTAGGCCTGGGGAAACCTTTGGGTGGAGGTTCAAACTCCTCAGCTTGTAAATCTAATCATCATTTCTTTCTTCTTCCCCCTCCTCTTCCTCGTCTTCTTTTTCCTCCTATTCTTCGTCCCACATTAGCCCACATTAGCCTCGACCTTGAGGAGATCTTCCTGCCTCAGCCTCCCGAGCACTGGGATTATAGGTATATGCCACCATACCTGGCTAATCAGCGTTTCTTCAAAGACTTTCCTAGCAGCTGCTGCAGTGTTTTCAAGGTTCCTAAGCATAGGGCAATGGGGACCCCAGCTACTGCTTTGGGTGTTCCTGCCAGGGTGGTATCTAGTCCAGGAGTCTGGGGCCTTAGACGTGCTTCCAAAAGTTTTGATCCCATTCTTCCTGTCCGTAGTCACCCCGCAGCCCTAGCCCAGGAAAGGCTGGGGCTCAGTGTCTGTGATGAAGTGGTAGGAATAAGGGGACACTGGAGGACATTTGGGAGTAGACAGGGAGAAGGGGTTTTGTTCTCCAGGGACACTTAGTCCTAGAGGAAAGGTTGTAGTGTCAGAGGATGCTAAAGCAGGGCACAGGCTTGCTGGTAGACCAGGGTCTTAGAGCTATCAGTGTGGCACTCTGTGTTCTCAGCATCTATTCTGAGACCCAAGGATCACATTACTCAGTGCTCAGCAAAAAAGTGCAACTGCAGAGCAAAAGCAAGTTGGGCTTTTTTGAGGGGAATTCAGGTCCCCAGGACAGCTCTCCTGTCCACTGGGAGGCAAGGTCCTGCTTTAGGATTTTGCCTTTTTGGGAGTGTTTCTTCAATTCTCCATGGTTTCAGTGCTCTCTGGCACTTTTCAAGCAGGCCTCTGGGTTCCTACACACTTGTAGGCTGATTTCCTTCTATGATGAACCCCCTGACCCATCTCCCCACCTGCCTACTGTTTCATGTACTGGGCACTATCTAGGACTCACAGAGACAGAGGTGTCCCCATTTGGCACTGGCTGTGTCCTCATAGAATGTGCTAGACAGGAGGCACATAGAGGATGCATGAATGACCAACGTTTGGAGGAGTCTCCAGCCAGTGATTCATGCTGAGGGACAGATCGGATGGCAGGGCTGACTTGACAATTGATCAGGACATAAGCCACTGCACTGTCAGGTCAGGAAAGACAAAAGACAAGTAGGAGGAAACACATCAGATCAGAAGACGAGGGGGAAAGGAATCTCGTCTGGCTAACAGCACTTTAATATGCTGATAGCAGAGTGTGTGTGTGTGTGTGTGTGTGTGTGTGTGTGTGTGTGATATACAGGTGCAGACAGGAGACAGGGCAGGGAAGAAGGAGGTAGTGGAAGAGGGTAAGTTTTAACTGAAGTTTTCTCTTCCATGGGGGGGGGGCGAGGTTCGGGGTTCTGCTCTGCTGTGATGTTGTATGACTTAAAATTGACAAACCAGGACTTCACCAATTCAAGCCCAGCTTCACTCTACTCTGCCCAGCCACTCAAACCTTAGTTTGAGGTGTAGTCATAGAAAAATTGCACCAATGTTTGTTTTAAGCTGACATTACACTGTTCATTTCTTCTAGGGGAAAAATTTCTCTTTTAAAGCAATGGTAGGTTTTCTGTGGAGGTATCTCTGTACCAATCTCTCTTCTGTATCTATACTCTAGATTTGTATAGCTATACATACATTTATATCTCTAAGTGTAAATTTAGATCTATACATTTAGAGCTAGAATTGGATCTACAGATATATATATATATATATATACACACACACATATACAAAAGTATAGACATATGTTTTTGTATTGAAGAAACTTAATTTTTAATAAAAATACTTTTTTCAGGAATAAAAATAATTAAAATAAAATAAAAATGTCATATGCTCATTAAATAACACCTAAGCTAAATAAACAAATGGTCCTTATCATATTCCATTAAAACAATCTCTTAGTATTTTAAGAATATTTTTAATAGTTCTTTGAACTGTGCATAAATTTAAAAAATAGCAGTAATCACATATATGCACATTTTTTTTTTTTGAGACAGGGTCTCCCTTTACAGTTTAGGCTGGGCTTGAGCTCACTATGTATCCCAAGACGTCCTTGAGCTCACAGTGATCCTCCTGCCTCAGCCTCTGGAGTTCTGGGACAGGGTGCACCATCACACTTGGCCAATGATAAATTTAATCTTTGATTATCCAGCAGGTTGGCTCTCAATGCTAACAAATTCACTGTCTTCTTTGATTTGTGATATTCGTCAATGACACCAGCCAGTGTGTCTGTGGTAAGTCCCAGGCAGGTACCAGGGCCCTCAAAACATCTGCATGGGTGGGAAGGCAGGCAATGTCCACTTCATAGAAGCAGGGCATCCAGGGAGAGAATCTGTAAGGACGCAGGGATCAGCACCGGGCAGGTAGGGCCTGCAGACAACGGCAGAGGCATCACGGACACTGGGGCAGGGAAAACCACCTCTGTGGTCACTGTCACAAGTTAACATATCTTCCTGAATAGCAGCTTTCTTGTCTGAAACCATGGACAAAAACACATCCTTTGCAAACATATGTGAGGATGAGGAGAATTATATGAAAAAAACTTGCTTGTCAAGTGGGTGAAACAAAGCAGGAGAAATTACTGTTGCCTGTAGGAGTTGTGGTAGGTGACGAGCCAACAGTTTGAATATCTGAAGGGCAATTAAAGGCTCTTTGGAATATTTCAGAAACAAAATGCCATGAGGATCTGTTTGTCTGCATGCCTTCCAACAGGGGGTGAGAAGGCCTCTCTTCCACAGGTAAATACAGAAAAGTTGCATGCAGGGGTGGCTGCGAGACTGCCAAGTGACAGCTGCTTAGCTGCGCAGGGCTTCCCTTTAGCAAACACACCTGAAGGCAGCTTGGAGCGGGTGGGGCCATGGGGTGCTGCTTCCTACTAGGCTGAGAGGAGGAGGGAGGGTTTCTCTACAGTGCCTCGTCACAGCAGTGACTTGAAGGGCTCATCCTTCACTCCCAGATCTCGACATCTCCAGTGCTGGTCAGTCCCTGCCCGTGAGCCCCACACTCAGTCCCTGCCACCCATCACTCCCTTGATCCAGTCTACGTAGTTGAGCACTTTGGTGTAGAAGCCGTACCCCTTGCCGCACCCGACACCCCAGGACACGATGCCTGTGGCCACCCAGCGATGGGCATGACCATCCCACACCACATAGACGCTACCACTGTCCCCCTGGCAGACACTGCTCGTCTGCGTATTGTCCTCCACACAGAACATGTTGTCAGTAAACACCTCCATCCGCTGTCTCTCCCGGAGCCAGGCCTCGCAGGTCTCCCTGGGGGCCACTGGCAGCCTGGAGTACTTCAGCTCGGTAGTGAGCCAGCCCATCTGCACGCCAAAGCCGCTGACATAGCCCCACAGGCCGCTGCGGTACAGCGTCTCAGTGTCCGGCAGGCAGACCGGGAGGAGGTGGGGGCCCAGGGGGACACTGTGCTGCAGCTCCAGGAGGGCGATGTCCCCATCGAAGTTGTGGGACTCGTGCTGGCGGTAGTCAGGGTGCACCGTGACCCTGCGGACGGGATAGTTCCCCAGTCGCAGCATCTCATCTATGTGCGTGTGGCCCAGGAACACATCCACGCTCTGGTTCTTCCTGAGAGAGGCGCTGTCCTTGGGGTAGATGGTGTGGGCAGCAGTGAGGATCCACCTGTCGCCCAGGAGGGCCCCGCCTCCACGGCCATGGATGACTGTGAAGGCTTGCCAAGGGAAGCTGCCCAGGGGGGCTCTGGAAGGGCCGGGGTTCCCGGGGTCCTGGGCGAGGGGTGTGACTGGCCGTCCACACACTGAAAGAGAGAGGACAGAGAAGCACTGGATCAACTCTGATGTGACTGGGTATGCATCCTGCCTGAGGCCAGGCAGCAGGTGCCCGAATGAGCACACAGTTGGGGCTGGCTCTGCAGGTCTCCCCGTCCTCCCTCTTTGGCCACTCCTTAGACTCTTGGTGGGACTTTTCTCAGGCCACATCCTGTGTCGGGTGGTTTATCATCGGTGCCTCTGTGTTTGGTGTCTCGCCCTCACTTAGAGTATCTCCCACACCACCCTCCCTCCAAGCCACTCCCTGAGCTCTGGCTTTCAGGCTACCCCTGGAGTTCTCTGCTGATCTGAGTGCATTAAGAAGGTAAAGCCCACCTGTAATTCCAGCACCTGAGGGGTTGAGGCGGGAGGACTGTAAGTTCAAGTTCAGCCTGGGCAACTTGGTGGGAGAATGAGACCCTTTCTCAAAATTAAAAATAGAAAAAGGGGTCGGCATGTAGCTCAGTGCAAAGGCTCATGGATTCAGTCCCTAGTGCTGCATAATCAGAAATGAAACAAAAAATGGTCTTCAAAAATGACAGACTTGTACCCTTGTATTGCTGGTGAAATGTGAAAAGGTGCCACTGCTATGGAAATATAATCTGGTGGTTCCACAAAACACTGAATTACCATGTGATTCATCAACTCCACTCCTAGTTGGATACCCAAGAGATCTGGCAATGTAGGTCTATACAAAAACTTATATAAAAATGCTTGTTTTAGTGCTACTCATAATATGTACAACCAGAATGTCCATCCATTTAGGAATGTGTACACAAAGTGTGGTGTATACATACAAACAGGGGTATTATATGGCCATAAAAAGAATGAAGTGCTGCTACCTGCTATAACACGGGCAAACCCTGGCAACACTGTGCTGCACTCAGACACAAGGGTCACATATTGTATGATTCCATTTGTGTGAAATGTGCAAATTAGGCAAATCCATAGAGACAGAAAGTAGATTAGCTGTAGCCAAGGACTGGGGGAGGAGGGAGTTGGAGATCTGGGGAATTTTAGGGGCAGGGTGATGAATGTGTACTGGAATTAGTGGTAATGTTCCTACAACATTGTTAACACACTAGAATTCTCTGAATTGTATACTTTAAAGTAGTTGAAATGATGAGTTTTATCTGAATAAAAAAATTTAAGGTAGATGGCTAAAGTGTGGCTCAGTGGGAGAGAGTTTGTCTGGTATGTGGGAGGCCCTCGGTCCAGTCCTCAGCCCACACCTGTACTCCCCAAAGAAAACAGAATGTGGCAACCAGGAAGGGAGTTTGAGGGCAGGCTCAGAGCCCTGTGTGTGTCTAAAACACAACATACAAAAGGTCTTATGTTATTTTAACTCTTCTCTCCTTCACTTGATCACCTGATTAAATCCCTCTTGCTTTACTTCCCTCAGACTCTTTTTTTGGGGGGTCTTTTTGAGACAGGGTCTCACTATGTAGTCCAGGCTGGTATTGAACTTGTAATGATCCTCCTGGCTCAGCCTCCAAAGTTCTGGGATTACATGTGACACTACATCTGGCTGCCTCAGACAATCTTTGCTGTTGGAAGAATAAGGGATGAGCCCCTCCTCTCTGCTCATCTCCCCTTTCTACCTGAGGCTCTCCTGCGGGCCCTGTAGTCTGTGCATCCCGTTGAGGCTTACTGGGGACCTGGGCCTTGGAAAAGCACTACGTGGAGAACTACTTACCAGGCACACACTGAGGACACTTCTGCTGGTCCTGCCTGTCCTTCCAGGTCCCCAGGACTGGGCAGCTGGGCACCCCTAGGAGTAAAATGTGGGGAGACATAGAACAGGCTGACAACTGGAGGACACTGGACTGACAGAGTAAGCACTCAGAGGGTCCAGGCAATGGAACTGTTTTCCTGCACGGGGACTTACCAGCAGGTACTGCTTGGTAATAGGGCTCCTGGCAGTAGGTGTGGATGTCCGAGGGGGTGGCTCCAGGTGTGAGGGGGCCTGTAGAGCCCCCACTGGCCTGGCTGAGGGGCTGGCAGCTCAGAGCTGTAGAAAATAGCAGTCATTAGAACTTCCCTCAGACTTGCAAAGTGTCAGGTTCTATTTAGTTTGACCTGCACAGTGATTGCAAAGCGAAGCAAAGCAAAGCAAAACAGTTGAACAAGATTTTACCATGCAGATTGTAACACTTAGAATTTGAAAATAACTGTGATTAGCAGAGTATGGGAAAATAAATACTTTCATATGTGATTTGTGGGAGTGAGTATAAATTAGTGAAAAACATTTTGGTGAGAAATTCAGCAATAATCACAAGGAAAAAGGTACAGACTTTTTACTTTTTATAATTATTTTTCATTTTTTGGTACCAGGAATTGAACTCAGCACCTCTTGCTTGCCAGGCAGGTGCTGGTGTTGCTGAGTTATATCACTGGCCCCAAAGGTAAAGACTTTTTAACCTACAATTTCAGTTTCCAAGAATATTCTCACACATATGTGCAAAGATATTCACAGCAGCATTGTTTTTGGCAACAAAATATCTGTCAGTGGGAGATCAGCCTGGGAAATTTAGCAAGTCCTTGCCCTTGTTTTTTGTTTTTCTTGTATTGTCTTTTTGAAACAGGGTTGGCTATGTGGTTCAGGCTGGCCTGGGGCTCACTTTGTAGCCCCGGCTGGTCTCAAACTTGCAATGATCCACCTGCCTCAGCTTCCCAAGTGCTGGGATTACAGGAGTTAGCCACCATACTTGGCTATACAGAGAATATTTAAAATATAAAAATTTATTATGGTTAAAGACATTTTACCATTAATCCCCCTCCAAATATCCCCCCTTCTAACACATCATCTCTTCCTCCTCCCTTCTCCCTTTTTTTCCCTCCTCCATCCCTGCCAGTATTGTTACAGTGTGCCATTTGCCCGAGGACTTGAACCCAGGGCTTCATACAAGTTAGGCAAGGGCTCTACCTTCTCAGTCCTTTTTTGACGTCTCTTGATCTGCAGACATTGGGTCTGTAAATCATCCTGGATTAATTAAGCATCAAGGAGCAATGGCTGCTCTTGAACTGGGTGGGGTTCCTGCACCCTCAGCCCAAACTAGAGCTTCCATTTGTGGCTTCAAGAAAGCAGGCATCATAGCTGGGAACAGACACTCTTTCCTTGAACTCTCAGGAGAGACTCACCCACAGCTTGGTAGACAGCCAGGAAGCCTTTGTGGAGGTGGGTGGGCTGCTCCTGGGAGGAACTGTGTGCACGGAAGGTCAGCCGCAAACTCCTCCCAGAGGACAGGAACTCTCTCTGACCAGCAGGGCTGTCGAAAGGGGAGTCCTGTTGACCACAGAGCTGGTGTGGAAGCATCCCACTGCCTGAGATCTGGAAGGTGGAGCAGGTAGATGTGAGATGAGCCTACACACTGGTGGTCACAGGATCATATCTGTTGACAACCACTACCCCGTCTAGAAGTGACCTGGTAAGCGCTCAGGAGCTGCGGGATCTTCCTCAAGTAGCTTTTTTTTTTTTTTTTTTCTTTTTTTGAGACAGGGTCTTGCTATGAGTTCAGGCTGGCCTTGGGCTCACTTTGTAGCCCAGGCTGGTCTCGAACTCCCAATGATCCTCTTGCCTCAGCTTCCTGAGTGCTGGGATTACAGGAGTGTGCTACCACACCCAGCTTCGAGTAGATTTTGTTTTCACATTGACTCCCAAATTTCTTCCAGGATGACCACATGCTCAAATATCTCTAGCTTACTATAATTGTTGTGTAAGAGCCATCATATTTTCCCTCTCTCAAGGACTCCTTGAGAACCCCAGGGTTCCTGCAGAAGTCTCTGCTCCTAAGGCCTTAGAAGACAGAGCCTGCTTCTGCTCCGCTCATCACAGAGTATCTAAGAGCAACACGATGCTTCCAGCAACACAGCTGCCAATCTACAGATTCAGTGCCTCCCCTCTGGCCGCTCTGCTCCCACACAACCTCATCCCAACACCTTCCACTGTGCTGGGTAACTTTCTGTGTCCAGCATTAGTTAAAGACAGCCCTGTAGGGCCCTGTAGTTGAATTATAAATCCAGGAAGAGAAAGTAAAGAAAGCAGACACTGAGAAATTATTAAAGAAATAATGCAAGCTATTTTCTGAATCAAAGGATAGAATAAATTACTAAATTGCCCAGGGTGGCTTGAGTTTGTGATCTACCTGCTTCAGCCTCCCAGAATGCTGGGATTACTGGTGTGTACCATGACACTGCACCCTGTGGGAAGTTTTATAGTGCCTCCTTCGAGGTGAACTCAGTCTTAACTTGGTATTTAATCTGTTGTTATTATCTGTGCCCAGCTTCCTAACTGGAAAAAGCAGGTTCTCAACACAACTTGATGTATGCACCCCTGAACTTTTGTACTTTATATATCTACAATTTTTGTGTGTCCTGTTGCAGGTCTTTAAAACACAGGGCCTATCCTGCACCTCTCCCTTGATTATGGAGTCCAGATTGTATGGGGCAGGCAGAGGTGCTGGAGGGAAGCTGTGCATGGGCAGATCAGCACCTCTCCCAGGGAAGCTGAACCCCAGGCCCCTGATGTGGGCTCTTCATTCTTCCTCTAGAGGCTGACTCAGGGCCCCAGATCCCCTGAAGGACCCCAGCTCACTGTGACAGAGTCTCCTTCACAGTCCCGGGATGGCTCCAGGTCGAAGTCCTGGAAGACCAGTCTCACAGCCAAGCCCCTTGGAGCCATGATGTCAGTGCTGCTCTCCTGGCCTCTGGGATAGGGCTCTGGGTACCCGGGAGATGTCAGCGGTTGGGGTAGCTGCCAGGCCAGCAGCACAGAGCCCTCTGTGGGGTAAGCCTGGAGGACTCCCCAGAGCAGCAGCCAGCACCTGTGAGTAGTGGGGACAAGATGGTGATTGAGAGGCCTGGCAAAGGCAGGGGATCTGGGAACTTCCTGTCCACTCTGTCCATTTCCTGTTTTATTCCTCAGTTCCAATGGGCTCCTGCCCAGCTTGGGCCCAGGTCTGTGAGTGTCTCACCTTCTGAACACATCACTGCTGTGCCTCTCCCAAGTTTCATCCAGATGGGAGGGCTGCCTCCTGCCTCAGCCAGCCCAATACCATCCTGGCATTCCAGGGAGCCAGGAGGGCTCAATGGAGGGATAACGAAATGTTTCCTCCCTCAGACGAAGAAGGCTGCCAGAAGCCACAGGCGAATTTCAGATCCTTCTGGAGTATCTGCTATGTGTGCATGTGTACACACACGGACGCTGTGTTCTGCTCTCTCTTGTCCCACCCCTCTCCTTCTCTGGCCTTCTCCTGGGCACACTCACATCTTGCCTGGGCAGCTCGAGGAGGGAGGGTTTCTCCAGAGATAGTTCCCCCACGCTGAGACCAGACATCTGGAACCCGACATCTGGAACCTCTAGAGGACGTGGCCTAGGCCGAGAACAGGAGGTGGGGCTGGGGAAGGCCCTGAGGGGAGGAGGGAGAAGTTACTGGAAATAAGTTAAGCAACTCTCCAGTTTCCTTTTCTTAACTGTCTGAGTTGAGTGCCACCTGCTGCCCAACACAGGAATAACCGACTGCAGCTTGGAGAAATGCACACTGTATCTCCCACACCTTGAAGACCCTTTGTACTTGACTCTTTTGTACTACTTAAAACTGATGTTAAAAACCTGATTTTCACCGTGTGCCTGTGTCATAGGTGGCATGGTTCTTCCTTTTGAGTGGGCTCCTTCCGTCTGTCCCACTCATTTATATAACCAACCAGCCTCCCCTACACCTGAAGGTAGATCTATGAACGTGAGCCTTCCCCTCCTCTCCACCCTCACTAAGGATAGCTGGGAGTCTTGTGAACTCCCTACAAGCTCTGGAGACTCTTTGTCATGCAGGCTGAAGGCCATGGTACAGCCCAGGGCCAGGATGTGGTTGTCCTTGTGTGGGGAAGCCAACACTTAAACATGAGAATCCAACATGTGAGACTACAGTGTGTGATGGACAGTGGGAGGATGCTGCCAGGGACATGGGGCTGGAGAAACAGCTCGAGGGCTGTGTGTCCAGCTGGTGACTGCAGGTCTTGCGGGTTGGGACAGGCAGCCAGGCCCCTCTGTTTGCAGCACTGGCACCCTGCGGTTGTCTCCAGCCAGATGCAACACAGGAAGTGGCTGTTGCTCTATAGTTTCCAGTCTGGACAGGAGAAGCAGAAGTAACAACCTGAGAAACCGTGGACACAGATGCAGGCATGGGCCATCGAGTGTCGGCACGTAAGGACCAGCTCACGTGTCCACATCTGGGAGCAGGGAGGAAGGGTGAATCAGGAGTTATTGACAAGCGCCCTGGAGCTATGGAGAGGGCGGAGCCAGCTTTCGTTTCTGAATTCAGCATCACTGAGGCTTCTGCTCCCCTTCATCTGTCTGGGGCCACAAGTAGGTGCTAGGAGAGGCTGAGATGCTGCAGCTCTGGACCCCTGAGTCACCCCCTGAACTCTAAGCCATGTAGGTGAGGTTTCCTCTCATTGCGTGAGGCTGAAAATTGCTTGACCATAACAGAAATTTCTGTTTATTCCCTTAACAAGAAGCCTGACTAAGACTGAAAGAATCTGAACTTAATGCTTGAGCCCTTGCTTTTGTAAAAAGAAGCCTCTGGTTTAAGCTAAGACAAGTTAACTGCCTACTTGAAAAAAAAATCACTCTTTGGAAGAACACCATTGAAACTGTAGTTTTCTTAAAGTATCAACCACTAAGCTATGGCTTGAAAGTTCATGTGTTGGACACTTAATCCCCAAATTCATGTGTTAGTGGCATTTGGAGATGGAACCTTTGGGAGCTAATTAGGGTGAGGTGAGGATGGGCCCCATGATGGTATTGTGGGTTCATAAGAGGAAGGACCTGAGGTGTCACTCTTGCTTTGTTCCATGATGTGATCCCTCAACCATGTGTGGTGCAGTAAGAAAATCCCCACCAGAGGTCTTTCCCATCTTTGAGGATGTGAGAAATACATTCCTTACTTTGTAAATTATCCAGATTCCTGTATTTTGTTATAGCAACAGAAAATGTACTGAGACATACCATGTCTAGGATGTGATCCAAGGTTACTCAAAGTATGGAGGAAAATCAAACCATGATCATAAGAAAAGTAACAGAAATCATCCTCCCAAATGACCCAAATGTTAGAGTCAGTACAACAGGATTGTAGCACATAAAGAAGCGAAGAAATTGGGCATGATCACACTTTTCTTTAATCCCAGCACTTAGGAGGCTGAGGCAAGAGAATTGGTAGGAGTTCAAGGCCAGCCTGGGCTGCATAGTGAGATTTTGCCTCAAAACAAAACAAAATAAAACAAAACAAAACAAAACAAAACATAACCGTTTGAGGCAAAAATTATGCCACTACTGTGGGGTTTAGAACACATTACATGAGAACTAGGTGTAAGGCGAGGGTGGGGTGTAGAATCCCACTGTTACTCAAAGTGGTCAGTGTGGACTCTAGGTGTAGGGTTCACACAGATTCTCAGTGAGGGACTTTCTGTGGAGCGATGGCTTCTCATGCACGGCCTGGGATGCCCTGGGATCCTGAAGATCTTTTGCGGGGAGGCCTGACTTCAAAATGATTTTCACAAAATTGTTAAAACATTTACTTTTTTCTCTCTCATGAGTTCACAGAGGAGCAAAGCACAGGCTGCCTGATGTGTGCTGACTCATTCTCTGATCATGGGTGGAAGCTATGCTGTCTATCGCTGTGTTTTACTTTTTCCATTGTAATTTCCAAAGCAGTGACTATGAATAGATACAAACTTATAGAACCAAAGCTCTTTACGGTTCCCAATCACTTCTGAGGGTGTAAAGTTGAAACCCTGCTGCCAGTGACAGAATGAGGGAGGCAAAGAGGTTTAGCAAAAGGACCGTGTGTAAATCAGAGCAGACCTGGGAAGTCTGGACTGTTTTAATTTTGGGGAACTTGTTTCTGAGAGGGTGTACTGTTAGAGATCAGCTTTATGATGGGTTTCCTGGGATGTGGACTTTTCTACTAAACTGGTTTAGCCCTAGCAAACCAGGGCAGTTTGTCACCTTATTTGAATAAGTCAGTGGTATCTTTTAACCCCCTTTCCCATATCCAAATGTGAGTGCCAAAGTCTCATGCTGGAATCTATGTTGAGGCCCCCAAATATACTTACAAGAACTACGTAAGTAAAGGAAGCAAGCTATAAAATTATCAATTACACTGTTCATGAATATAGAAAACATCTACAAGAAAAATTTAAGACTGTAGGGTTATGGATCATGTAAAGGATGTAAAATTTCTATAATATTATTGAGTCATGTCAGTAGTTACAAAGTAAGTGTATTTACAATTATAATTGTGACTGATTGCTTCTTTCTAAGTCAGGCAGGAGTGGAAGATGTTAAAAATGATGTGAGACCCTGGCTCTGGGGGCTTCTTTAGTGAGTGTGGTTAATGAAGAACATTTGTCCTTGGGCACAATTTAAATTGGGTGTGGATCCTCTCACACTGGGTAAGTCAGGACGAGGTGCTCCGGACCCCAAGAATAAAAACATTTCCATCCCTTCATCTCCACCCGATCTTGCCCCTTCCGAGTTTACATCTGGGGCCACTGCATTTTATTTCTCATTAACTGTACAGGGGCGAAGGGCAGAGACAGGGGCTGCACGGAAAATACGGACAGTACGAGGGTGTACGCTTCAGTTTTGGGTTTTTACTTTTGGTTTTCTTTTCAAAATCCTGTTGGTGCTGCTACCGGCTGTCCTGTGAGGGAAATGGCCCCACAGCAGGGCCCAGGTGTTCCTGGACGGGAGGCTTCTCTTCAGCCCTCATTTAGAGATTTGCTCTCTTGGGATCTCACCAGCCACAGGAGCCCTTGGGCTTAGGGTTGATATGACATCGGTCAGTGCTCTCCCTGGTTTCCCTGCCTGGAGAGGCTCTGTCCCAGCCTGGGCACCCTGGGGCCTCTATCAGTGTCAGGTAGGGAAGGAGATACAGGAGAGCCGTGGGCGTGGAGGGGCCTGAGTCAGCTCCCTGAAAGCCAGGGATTCTATCCAGAATACAGATGTCACTCAAGGATGCAGGGGACATGGGTGACCTTGATGAAATTTGGGGTTGCAAATCTCAGGCTTGCAAATTAAGTCCTTGACTTCTGTAGGTTCTGGACAGTCAGACAGGGGGTAAATCGGCCCAAAGTGGGCACAGCTGCAAATCTCAGCTCTCAGGTCCACTCTTCCTTCCCTGACAACATCTTCCCAGTATCAGTGAATCTTGCCCCTCCTTGCAGTGCTTTTCAAGGACTGCACCCTCTAGTCCTCAAGATGACACCAGAAGCAAACGTGGGCCCTTTATGATAGACTCTGCTCCTCTTTTTACTTCTCTCTGTCCTTTTCTGCCATCCTGGTGATCTTGTGGTGTCCCAAACAGGCGTAGCACAGTGGTGAAATGCATTGATTCTGCCATGTTCACCAGGTTCAAAGCCAGGTGCTGCTACTTAGGAGCTTTGTGGATATGGCTGACTTGAATAGCTGTCCAGTGCCACTGGGCACAGGAGGGCAATGGAACCCACATGACAATGTCGTTAGGATTACATGGAGTTACAACGGAAATTGCTTAGGTGAGTGCCTGGAGTTTGGCAAATAGAATATATCATTATTTTCTGAGAAAGGTAAAATAGCAAAATGGTTAGGTCAGTGGTCCTCAATCAGGAGCAATTTTATTCCTTAAGGATTTTTGACAATATCTAGTTTTGCTTTTGGTTCTTACACGTGGGGGTTGCTACTGCCATCTGGTGGACAGAGGACGCAAGTTGCATGTCAGCACTGCACACAACGCTGAAAAACTGCATCTGGCCTAACTTTGAGAAACCGTAGCCTAAGTAAGCATCAGCTCCAATCTGCTAGTGTTTGAACCCCACATTTGTCTTTTACTTGACATATATTTTCATAAACTGTAGAAACTCTCTGTTTCTTTGATTTCTTCCCTGTAAAATGGGGACAGTGATACACAACTAGGTCCTTGAGAGGAGTAGACGCCTGGCATGAGGTCATCATTACACAAATGTTGTCACCAACACCTTTTCTCATCCTGTATGCCTCCTACTCGGGGAAGCCCTACATGACTCAGCGTTGGATTACTTTCCTTGTGCTTTTGGACATTCATATCTTTTTTTAAAAAATATTTTAAAAATTTTGTCTTTTTGAGGCAGGGTCTTGCTATGCAATTCAGGCTGGTTTTGAGCTCACTTTGTAGCCCAGACTGATCTTGAACCTGTAACAATCCTCTTGCTTCAGCCCCCAAGTGCTGGGATTACAGGCGT